GTGCCCAGGGCCTAACTAACTCAGAGGCCCTGGGATTTCCACATTTGCAGAGATCCGAGACTCGGTGCACTCCAACCAACTGGCGTGCTGCAACTGTATAGACCCCACTTTGTGAAATGTTTGCACAGAGGGCTCTTGTTGATTTGCTGGCCCGCCTTCACTTAGGGCGGGCACTAGGCTTGCTGGGGTCTTAGCCCAAAACATGTTCATCATGGCAAGGCCCATTCTTGAGGGCTCAATCCTCACATTCCATCCCCCTTAGCTTCGAAAGTTCGCTGAGATGCTTACTTCGCAGGTGCCTTCCCTTTCAGCTTCCTCTCATATTCTGCCACCACCTGAGGAGCTGTGTCAATCAGTTCCTCTCTGGTGAACCACCGGTCTTCTTTTGGATCCGTACGATGCCTGAATCTGACGCGATATTCTCTCTTGGGTTTAGGAGGTCTTCCTCTACCCAATGGCTTCTGAACAAGCAGATCTCTGTGATCCACAATGTCGTCGATGTCCACTTGACCATCCATGGTTGGGGGCAGCATCGATCTCCTTGAAGGGAATTGATCAGTCTTAGCGAAAGGTGCAAGCTTTGAGGCATGAAAGACAGGGTGAGTGAGTAGGTGTCCAGGGATATGGATAACATATGTAGGACCATCCATCTCATCCCCCACTACATCCAGGACTTCCCAAGGACCAAAGTACTGAGGCATTAGTTTTCTAGAGATACCGAATTCCTGTCCTAGCTCACTAGCCTTGACCCAGACACGTTCCCCTACCTGAAATGAGGAATGTCGTCGATGCTTGTTCTCAGAAGCAATCATTGCTTGTTGAGCTTTCTTAATATGCTCGACAGCTTGCTGCAACAACTTCTCATACTGCACACCATACTCAAGTGTGCCTGGAGTTGCAAAGGATCGGTTTTCGGGTAGGAGGAAGTCTAGAGCAGATCTAGGCTTCCATCCCAAGTGCAGCTGGTTAGGACTAACGCCGGTACCGCTGTGTACAACGTTGTTGTACAGGCTGGCGATGAGAGGCAACTTCTCATCCCAATCATCCTGGCTGGGTTTGATGTAATACCTCAGCAAGTGCTGTACAACTCTATTTATTTGCTCGGCCTGTCCGTTGGCTTTGGGATGATTCCCTGAAGTCATCTGAAGTTGACTGCCCATCTGCTCAGCAGTCTTCTTCCACAACTCACTTGTGAAACGAACATCTCTGTCACTAACGATTGTCTTTGGTAAACCAAAGTCACGCACCTAGTTGTCCTGGAACAACTTGATGACATGGTCCGTCCTTGCGGTCTCTGGCATGGCAACTAGTCTAGCGTACTTGGTGAATCGATCAATGATGACGAAGATGTGCCTCTTGCCACTTTTGCTGGTCACCAGGGTATCCATGAAATCCATGGAAACACTCTGTCCTGGACCAGCGGGGATAGGTAAGGGCTTCAGCAACCCAAGCGGTGCTTGAGTTCGCGGCTTGTCCCGTTGACAGACCTGACATGTCTCTACATACTTCTTCGCGTCATCTAGCATTCCAGGCCACCAAAATCGTTGTACTAGATTAGCACTCGTTTTTCGTAACCAAAGTGCCCGGTTGAGTCATGGCATTCTCCTAGAAACAAACTACGCAAACGTTCACTAGATGGAACTACTAGCCTTTTAACACCGGCCTTATCAAGATAGAGTAGCCCGTCCACCATCACAAACTCACTTTTCGTGGCCTTGTCTTTTGCCTGAAGTTTGCGCATGATGTCCATCGTGACAGGGTCTTCCTGATAGGCTCCCACGAATGATTGAGTTACTTCTTCAGATAAACCAAAGTCAGCAACTAGCGCACCTAGGTAGTCTGCCCTATGTGGTAGCGCATTTGCAAGCTTGTTGTACTCTCCCTTCAGATACTCAAGCTTGAAGTCATATTGGTCTATGACTTCAATCCATCGCTTGAGTGCATCAGAAAGAGCCGATTGAGTCTTGATCCATTTGAGCGTTTGATGGTCAGTTCTCAAGTAGAAGAACCGTCCCAACAGAAAGTGTCTCCAATGGACAAGTGCCCCTTTCATAGATGGACTTTGCCAATTTCTTCGATGGCATTTTCTTGCTCATGTACTCAATCGGTCTCAACTTCTTCCCATCCTGCTGAGCCAGCATTGCGCCAATGCCGTATTGGCGCGCGTCAGTGGTCACTATGAACGGCTTCTGAGGATCGGCAACCATGAGAACTTCATGATTCATGAGTGCATGCTTCAATCGCTTGAAAGCACCCTCGCACTCATCACTCCAGTCCCACGGCGTGTCAAGTCGAGTTAGATCCGTCCAAGGAGAGGCGACTGTATAATAGTTTTTTACGAAGTTCCTATATGGTAGCCACACATTCCTAAGAAAGATCTGACCTCAGTGACAGTCTGAGGTCGTGGCCAGTCTCGAATACTAGCCACCTTCATATCTTCCGGTCTAATCCCTTCCGCGGATACTTCATGACCCAAGTATAACATCTTAGTGCGACCAAACTCACACTTCAATAGGTTGACCTTATACTTGTGTTGTCGCAGGAGTGAAAGTACAGTCTCAACGTGCTGTGCATGCTCCTCGGCAGACTTACTAAAGATCAGAATGTCGTCAAGGTAAACCACGACAAACTTATCTAAATGGTCATGGAAGATCCGATTCATAGCGTGCTGGAATGTTCCCGGCGCATTGCAAAGACCAAAGGGCATCACTACAAACTCATACAGACCATATTGAGTCTGGAAAGTTGTCTTGTGTTGGTCCTCAGGTCTTATCGCGATCTGATGATAACCGGATTTCAAGTCTATCTTGCTATAGTACTTGCATCCCTGCACCCTATCCAGTAGGTCGTCTATGCGAGGTAGAGGCTCTGCGTTCTTCACGGTGATGGCATTGAGGCCTCTATAATCAATTCACATCCTTGACGTACCCCCCTTCTTCGGTACGAATAATACTGGAGATCTGTAAGGGGATATAGTCTGTGACTATCATGTGCTCCTTGTTGGCCAAAGTAGATGCTACAGGTCTACTAAGGTGTCGTACTCGGTCCTGCAGGTGCAGCCTTTCCAAACAGTCGCGACTTATGTAATTCCGCGTGGAGCCTATGTCTATGAAGGCTCCACATTTGCGGCCTCCTACATCGACTTCCACCACGAAATGTTCCCCTCTAGGACCTTTCTTTAGTGCCACCCAAGCTTCGCAAGGGTCCTTGTTTGACCACTCGCTTTCCAGATCTTCTAAGGCTTCAGACACATCTAACATACAGAGCATAGTTTGGTCTAGATGAGTCTGCGGGGTGACAAAAGAGTCATTAGTTATGGCCTTCTCATGAAGTGGGGAGGGTATCTGGCCCACTTCACCCTTAGTAGAAGCAACTAAAACTTCCACCAGCCTCACGTGTTTCCCGAGCTAGAAGCCTAGGAAGAAAATGCCCCCATCTTAGGAGGTATCTTATGCGTGACCTTTGCATTTTGGCACTTGTACTGGGTGTGTCCGTATTCACCACAGTTTATACAAGTGCCACGCACTCGGCGGTCCCGCCACACGTCTTGATCAAGACCTGCCTTAACCCAATCAGCCACTTTGGTCTGATTGGAGGCGGCCTTCCCTTGACTCTTTGGATGCCCCTTCCCTCGGCCACCCGCCTTAGCCTTGACTACTGCGGCGAGGGTGCTACCCTCAGCGATCTCCTCGCCATCGTACTCTGAACCGTCCAGCAGGTCTGTGAGCTCATCAATTTCTGTTTGAGTCCCATCAGACTCAACCATCATTAACTTGGCCCCTTTCTTTCTCCATTCCTGCGGACTCTTCTTCTTCCTCGCGTCATTCTGAGTGGGTTGAGCATTCCCTAGTGTAGCCTCTAAGTCTAAGGCTTTTCTAGACAATGTCTCAAACGAGTGGTACTCGAGGCGAGCCTCACTGGCCAGCAAGTTCCTGAGGTTCTCTGGAAGACATCTAACAAAGGTTGTCAACAGGAACTGGTTATCGTAGTTGATGCCGGGGACAACGATGAGACTTTCCACGGTGGTCGTAAGCTCTCTGACTGACTTGAACTTTCTTTGATTTAGTCTATTTATCCCATCAGTGGCCATTTGTGCCTATTGAGGATTGTGCCAGCGAGCTTCTACCATCTCAAAGAACTGGTCTAACATAATAGACTTAGCCCAGTCCCCCATACGTCGTCCATACCCGGCCTTTGCAACTATACCACCTAGCCATTTGGCTGCCTTACCCTCGAGGTAAGATGCAGCAGTAACCACTTCGTCCTCTGGCAAGGTCCTCTTCGCCTTCACCCAAACCGGAACTGTTCTCAACCAAGTGTTGAGTTCTTCGTCCTTCCTCTCGCCTGAGAAGGCAAGAGGCGGTTTCATTGGGGTCTTAGGGTACCATTGACCTTGCGGCTGTCCCTGTTGAGGAACAGGTTGTTGCGGTGATGTAGCACCCACCGCTGGACCCGAAGAAGAAGAAGCAACAGTCTGTGCAGCTGCTGCAGACGTGCCACTTGGTTGTGTGCCAGCTTGTACGAGAAAGGGGCCTGACATCACCGTTAACGGCAACGACGACTGTGCTGCTGGTCTAAATCCTGGCCTTTGCAAAAGGTTCAAGATCTGATCTAGAGTGTGCTGCATGAAGTCCAATCTGCTGTCCACGTGCGCATGCAACGACAGCATATTGTGCTTCAACACTTTCAGTTGGTCAGTCATGACCGACTCATCCAACGCCTCTAGAGCAGCTTTGTCAGCCTCCAACGAATCAAGCCTGACTCTTCTATTTTTAATTTCTCTTTCTCTATTGGTTGCTTCCTTCAGTTCCCTTTCTAACTTCAGGCGGATCCTCTCGACCTGTTCGAGCTCTAAGAGCTCCCTGCCGCGTGGGGTCAACGGGCTAAACTGCGAGCCCGCCATTTGACTTGTGGACTGAAGTACCCTGAGGCATTCCCAACAGGATCCCATTGGTCCCAGAAGAGGACGCAGACGAGGATGCACATGATGACGCAGCAAAGCTTGTACCGTTAGCCGTTGCTACTACTCTGGCTGCGGCTGCCTGCTCTCTAGCTGCTGCGTTTGCTGCTGCTATCCGTGCTGCTAGCGCCCGGGCTCTACGTTCGGCACGAAGCCGTGCTTCGTCTCCCGGTGTAAGGCCTGGTACACGTGCGGGACCCTAAGTGCTCCCGAACGTGTTAAGTCTCACATTGTCAACTCTACCCTCATCGGTGTCTGACCCACTCATCAGTTAAGCAGACAATATCTGCACTACAACCCCCTGTTGGAGTCCTACCGTAGCATGTGTCTGACCGACACCTAATTTTCTAAAAATAGTTCTGTCCGGCAGGTCCCCTACTTTACCGATCAAGTGGAAATCTACAGCATTCACAACAAATTGTCAACATAGTCTAGATGTATCTTGATCGGTTCACTTACAGCAGCATTAGATAGAACTGGCTATGGTAGTATACAACAGTCCTACTCTAATCTGTCTGTGAGGTGTTAGCAGTCTGTCCACCAACTAATCAAGAATACAAAATGACCATGTTGCAGATGTATGATCAGTGGGTATGGTTGTGTTTCCAGTTGAGCATCAATTAGAACCTACCCTCCCCTCAATCCAACATACCCAACAACATCATTGAGCAGCGGTGTCTTCGTGTGTTTTTCGGCCCATCCCTGTGCCCAAGTCGTTGCCGAGCAAGCCAGCCAGTCCACTCTTATTTACCCTCGTACGGAACGAGCCTTACACCCGGTTGATCTGCCTGATCAGGAGGAATTTAAAGAGCGCCCCCATCTCTTCAGGAATTATTTAACGTCGCAGTCAGTACGACGATCACAGCTAGAATCAATCCGAGTCCCCAACCAGAAATGTTTATAGAAGGTCTGGTAAGCGTCTCATAAAAGGCTGGCACACCCAGCAGGACTTCCATTCAGGGCAGCAAGTGCCAAGATGGACAGCAGCCATCGCATGCGTGACCTACTCCCATTGGGTTGGCATGGTGACCGTGACCCAGTGCTTCGACCAGGGCCCTTCAGAGGCATCACCCTTTCTCCTTCCAGATGCTTCCGAGAAGATTGTCGTCTCTGAAGGTAGCGCGCTCACGACACCTCACCAAAAGAGAGGACTCTCAAGTTGGACTCACTTCCTCACGCTAAGAAGAGATTGACAGAGTAGATAAGGTAAGGGAACAACGTACCTGGAGATAGCTGCCCCCAACCACAGATTTCTCACCAATTGAGCTGAGTGTGCATTTGATGACCGGTCTTGGCCTCGATAGCACCCACAACGCAATGCAGTGCCACCTGAGCCGAATGCCAAATCAGCATGCTCTCATGACCAATCATACATTCCGCCAATCACCACGACATATTGTTGTCTTAGCCTTCCGGCGCACACCTCTCTACCCAGGCTGTGCGCCTAATATGGCCTGACGTCACAAGAACCAACTGCGAAGAAGCATCGTCAACGCACCAAGTCTGTATAATGCCAGCGCACCAAGGTAAGTGACGAATCAAACCAGCTCCGATACCAAATTGCAAGGAACATGAATATGGACGAAGCACAGAAATCCAGATTGCAAAATCACACTGAAGTCCAAGTAGTCAAAGCAAGAGCAGATAGCACAATGGAACCGAGTAACCATCCATTTGAGAATGATAC